GTAAATGCATTTGTTACATGGATAAAGGGAATGTTGTGGATATAGTGTGTTTGGATTTCAACAAACCTTTTGACAAAGCGCCACACAACCTTCCCATAAATTGGAGAAATGTGGGCTTGATAAATTTGCTACAAGGTGAATAAAAAACTGGCTCAATAGCCACAAGAAAAGGGTAATTATAAATGGATCTATGTCAGAACGGCAGGAGGCTTCAAGTGGAGTCCCACAGGAGTCTGTCTTGGGCCTAGTGTTATTCAACATGTTTATTAATGATGTAGAGGCTGAAGCAGAGAACTTCTTGAGCAAATTTGCAGATGATATAAAATTGAGAGCCAACAGAATGAAGTTCAATGCTGATGCATGCAAGGAGCTGCACCTTGGGAAGAAGAGTCAAAACCACAAATACAAGATGGGTGATATGTGGCTGGATGACAGCTCTACAGAGAAAGAACTTGAAGTCTTGGTGAATCACAGCTTCAGTGCGAGTTTGTAGTGTGACATACCATACAAAAGGCAAATGAGGTTTTGGGCTGCATCAATAGAAGCATTAGGTGCAAGACACAAGAGGTGATAGTGCCTCTACTTGGCACTGATTAGACCTCATCTAGACCAGTGTGGGGACAACCTTTCTGGCTGGAGTGCCACAAATTACCCTGACAGACTCCCTAAGTGCCAGTCCAATCCCTTCCCTGGCCCAATCTGCTGTTCTGCTTTCTGCTCCCAGCCATGGTGTGGCAGGAAGTTCCTGCTGCCTCACCCAGACTATCTCCTGGGATGCCATGCTTCCAGAACATTATGTGGTACCCAGAGGACTTGCTCTATGTCACACAGTCAGCCATGACTCTGGAAAAATCTTGTTTTCTGTATCCTGCCTTCCAAAAACAAGGTTTTACTTGGGAGGCATGCTGTATGCAGTAAAATATTGGTATTTGTTCTCTCTCAGCAACACCATATAAAAGTGAAGCTCAGCTAAAGTCCTGCAATTACTCTGCATTTGTGATGAGGAATCTTTCTCTCCTGTGAGACTTCCTTACATGCAAGCTTCTCTTGCCAGTTCTTCAGGCTCTCCAAATGAATGGGAGCTTGCCTTGGTTACCATGTAATTTTATGTTGATTTCCACATGTGTCTATATTGTTTGCATTTTGTTTGGAAATCAGTTTGCTTCCTACCTCTCAGTTTAATTGGGCAAGCTGCCTTTTTTCATTCTTACTATTACCTTTTGTTAATGTACCAAAAGCCATAGGGTGCCAATAAATTAGACTAATAGGGCTCCCTTTTACTATTCTGTTATGCTATTGTTTATCCATGTTTCTTTGTGATCTAATTTTGAACCTCCACCTAATTGCTGAGTTGAATTTTATGCCTCCTGATCAAATAGTGAGCAGAAGGGCTCAACTCTGTGTTGCATAAACCTGTTTCCCAAAGAAGCCAGCAACAAATAAAATAAATTAACATGGAAAGGCTCACATCTGTACTTAGGCAAAGCCTGTACCTGGCAAAGTTCAAAATTTCTGGCACTCTTAGATCTGTAAACCTACTAAGCAAATTGGTGTGCTTTGTCAATCTGGACTGTGTACTTTGTGTCAGACCCTGTCACTAGAACTGTCCAAGGTTACTGATAAATGGTACTTTTAAAACATGTTAAACGTGGGGGGTAGGGAGAAGACTGCCCAGGACCATATTTCAACAGTTATGCCATAACAGTTATATCTACATGGTCCTATAGCAATCCAAGTTAACTAAGTCACCCTAACGCAGGATGATAAAAACATGAGTTCATCTAGTCCAGCCCCCTGCTCAGACCAGGATCACTCCTGACTAAACCATCCCAGTCAAGTGTCTATTTAAACTGCTCTTGAAAATTTCCAGGGATGGAGATTGCATGGCTTGTCTTGGTAGTCTGTTCCAAAACTTGACCATTCTCATAGACAAAAAGTTCTTCCTAATCTCCAACCTAAATTTCTTTTGCAGCAGTTTGAGGCCATTGCTTCTAGTTCTGTCCACTACAGCCACAGAGAAATTGCTAGCTCCATTCTCTTTATAATCTCCCTTCAGGTTGAAGACTGTTATCAAGTCCCACTTTGGTCTTCTCTTCTCCAGACTAACTAACCCTAATTCTTTCAGCTTTTCTTCCTAAGCCATATTTTCTAGGCCTACAATCATTTTTGTTGCCTACAATCATTTTTGGACTCTTTCTAATCTGTCCACATCTCTCTCAAAGTGTAGGCCCAAAACAGGATACAGTACTTCAGGTGAGGCTTAATCAATGGTAAATAAAACAGAAGAATCACTTCCCTTGATTTGCAAGTGACACTCCTGTTAATGCAACCCTGTATGCTCTTAGAGTTTTTTTGCAATGCTGTTGCATACTTGTTGGTTTGGTGGCCTGGGGGCCACTATAACCCCCAGGTCCTTCTTGGCTGGGCTACAGACTAGCCAATTATTTCCCAGTTTGTATTTGTGCATGCAATTATTCCACCCCAAGTGCAGGACTTTTCCTTTGTCCTTGATGAATTTCATCTAATTATATTAAATAAAAATAAATGGTTTTATAGATTTTTATATTTTAATTATATTAACTTAAATATTTAATTGTTTTATTATATCTATTTAATAATGTTAAAATCATTTTAAATAAAGTAGTTTATTTATTTCTATGTAGTACTCCTGCTGTCTGTAAGCCCATCATGGCACTGGATGAAATAAACATTAGAACATAAGACATGCCATACTGCGTCAGACCAATAGTCCATCTAGTCCAGTATCCTGTCTCCCACAGTGGCAGGAGAGAATGCTTTAGGGGGAGAGCATCGAAAGAGGTATATCTAGAGTGCACTATCCCTTCTTCATTACCCTCCATGGCATTCACCACCGTTGGTTTAGAGATGCTAGAATAAACATCTCCAACCACTCTGTTTAATAGTTATTAATAGATTGATCATCCATGAATTTGTCTAGTCCCTTTTTGAACCTGCCTATTTGAACACTTTTTGAACCTCTACCTCCTCCTGTGACAATGAATTCTACAAGTTAACCACCTACCACATAACAAAGTACTTTATTTTGTTAGTTTTAAATCTGTCTAATAATTTCAGTGGGTGCTTCCTACTTTTGGAAGTCTGGGACTTGATGAACACAAACTCCCTGTTCACTTGGTCCATACCCTTCATGATTTTATAGACTTCTATCATATATCCCCCCTCAACCTTCTCCTTTTCAAACTGACTGGTCCTGGCCTTTTCAGTCTCTCCTGGTATGGCAACTGCTCCATAGCCCTGATCAGTTTGGTTGCCCTTCCCTGGACCATTTCTAATTCTACTGCATCATTTTGAGATGCAGGGACCAGATGTGCACACAGTATTCAAGATGTGGATTTGTATAATGGCATGATGACGCTATCTGTTTTGTTTTCTATTCCCTTCTTAATGATACCCAATATTTTATTGACTTTTTGGTTGCCACTGAACACTGAGCTGATATTTTTAGACCGCTTTGAATAATGACTCCAAGGACTCTTTCTGAGGTTGTAAAAGCTAGTTTAGAACCCAGAAATAGGCTGTCACCTACAACAGCTCATGACTCTTTGAGTTAGTTTCTAAGGTGCCACTCTGCCCTTCTTAATACCTGGGGAGATTTAGGTGCCTAAGAATGCATAAAAGCTGGGATACATAAAAGCTAGCAGGCCGAGAGGCTAATGACCTATGGTAATTATTCTGACAGTGTCAAGACCTGAGTGGTTGTGTGCATGCCTAGTGCCATAAATGGAGGCACTCAGGGAGCTTTATAGATGGAAACTTGAGAACCAAGAAAGTTGGCAGCAACAGCCCCCTGTAGTCTGGAGAATGGCAATTCTCAAGTGCTCCAACTGGGCAGAGCTATAGGGCTAGTATGTAGGTTCAGCTGTTCATAATGATACTTTTTAAAATGTTTCTAAGCCTTTTACACTAGGAATTGTTTCAGTTGTTTACTTCTGTCCACACCCACAGGCCATAGAATTTCACCCAGTAATTAAGCCAAATAATTTGTGGTTGAACTAGAACATGTATTTGTTTTTTTTGGAAAGAATTCCAACCTTGGTATAGAGACATTATTTCAGTGATTAACTTCACTCACTCAAAATTGTGCACTATTTCCTTTGCCTAGCTTCAACCTTGAGACATTAGATATTGTTATGAAATTTGCCCTTGACTGGTGCAGAAAAACTTTCAATAAATCATAGATCTTCTTGCTATGTACATGCTTATTATAAACCATCAAGTCATTTTTCCTTGATAAGGAAGATGGAATTCCTTACATTTATCACTATAAAACATGTTTTCTATAGACCTCAGATCAGGCCTGTTGCTCTCTTGTGAACCTCTTCCAATTTTGCAATATCCTTTTTAAAGTGTACATGTAAAAATGGGCACTTTTTACTGATGGTCTAAACAATGCCATAATATAACCTTCATATTCTGATTAAACACCCCCTTTTCTCTAGACATTCAAAGATTGCATATTTTCACTGGCTGCTTGTGTTCAATTGCTTGTCCACCATGACTCCAAGATCCTTTTCAGTGTTTTTGAGGGTATAGATGAAAACCCTGTCTACCTGAGATGCATTCTTTGCTCCTGTAACATGTGACTGGCTTTATTATAACATATGCTGCTTGACTGCACCTATCTTACCAAGCAATCCAGTTTACTCCATACAGATGGCCTACCTATTCTCTTTCCTATTTACCATTTCTCCAATCTTTTTTCATCTGTAAACCTTTTCAGTAATGAGTTTATATTTTCATCTAGATCTTGAAAAAGGAATATAGAATAGTATTTGGTTGAGAAATAATCCTTTACATAGACCAGATGACCAACAATATATTCTACTTTATGGATGGCAACAAACAATTAATGCTATGATAATTCTATTGCTTCAGGAAGGTTAATCTCTATTGGATGCTGCTGATGGCATTAAATTTGTTAGTCTGTAGTTTATTTGTAGTAAAAAAGCCTTACATACTTTACTGGTGTGGATCCAGATCTGGACATGTAGAGCAAAATGAGGAAAAGAAACATCAAGAATGCAGCAAGTCCAACCCAAAAGGCTATGACAATTGAATCTGTTAAATGAAACGCAACATGCTGTATCACTGATCATGAATCAAAAAATGAAAAATAAAGCAAACACATTGTATGATCTCAAAGTATGTTATACCATTTCATTAATTAGAAGGTCACAATTATAGTCGTAAGAAAGAGTCTATTGTAGATGGAGAACAGAGGCAGAAATTAGTTATGTCTTATACAAAATTTCATAGCAGGCCAGTCCATAGTATAGTTAGGAATAAAACAAAGGAATCTAATCCTGGATCTATGCTCTAACCACTAGGAAGGTGAGTACTAAGTATATTTTTGGGAAAGCAGTAAGTTGCATTTAGGAGGATTTTGAGAATTTTAGCTATTTGCATATTGCAGAATTCAGTTCCACACAGTTGCAAGACAAAAACAGCCATTTTAAAAGGAAACCATTCTCATGCTGCTTAGCTTTATGGACTGAGCTAATTTCTACTCTCTGCTAAGTGAGGACAACACCTGTTAAACTCCAAGGGAACTCTGAATCCATTTAAAGGATGGAATTTGCCATGAAAAACTTTTGTCACTAGGCACATAAATATTGGCCTTGCAGACTCTCAGGATGGAGAAGACAGCTTGTTGAAAACTGATATTGGTTGTGATTCTAGTGGCATGTTAGTCTAATGGAAGAGACTGTGAAGTAGCTCTGGCAGCTGTAGCAGTTGTTCTCCATCTGTGCTTTAATATTTAGTTGTAGTAGTTTTATAGTGTCATAACAAGGACTGGGTGGTCTCTTTTAGCCAAAGTGTTCTAGAAATGGTCTCAGCAATGTTTCCCACTGGGGTCAACGCAGTGGGTGCATCTATACGTGCAATTACAACACATGAATAAACTGCAGAGCTTATTGCTTATTGCTCTGGAGTTTATAGCTCCCGGGTGCACCATTTGAATGTGCACCTGAAAGCAATTAACTCCGGCACAATAAGCTCTGCAGTTTATTCATGTGTAGCATGTGGAGCCTGGGCATAGCATCCCTGGCTGGCAGGGAGTACCAGGAGTTTAGCCTGCTAGCCCGTGGCTACTCCCCCTGGCTCAGTGTGCTGCAAAGGGGCTGGCTATGGCATGAGGGAGCTTCAGCAGGGGCTAGCCAGTAGGTAGCCCCCACACTGAAGCACCCTCATGCCCTAGCCAGCCCTTCCAGCATCTACACGTGAGCTACTGTGGAGTTTTTTACTCTGTAGCAGGATAGTACTTGTATTTACAAGTACTATCCTGCTGCAGAGTAAATTAGTTTACTCCAGCCTAATAGGAGCACATGTGTAGATGCTGAGACGTTTACTGCGGAGCTAATTATTCTACTACTGCACAATAAATGTCTCATGTAGACATGCCTTAATACTGTTGGGTTCCAAGAGCAGATCACTGGCTGTCCTGTACACACTTTTGCTTCTGGTGAGGAAAAAGCAGGGGTCACTGGCTCACAAGACAAATATTGACTAAGATAAAGTAAATCTTTACCTAACAGGACAAAAAACATTGATGTTCTTTGAATTAAACTGAATATGTTAGATCTTAAGCTTGCATTCATAACATTCAGAATGTGTTGCTGTTAGAGTTACTGATTTGTTAAGGAGACTATTTTATTAACTTTACCAACAATTTAAAGTTAGAGCTCACCTATAAAGAGTCTTCTTAAGAAGAGGACTCTGTAAAATAATTGTGAGACAGTCCCAAGATATTAGAGTAAAAGCAATAGTCACTCTAAATTTAAAGAGGAGCCTATAAACTGGGGGTTTAAGACTCCCTCAAGATCTGTTCAAAAACATGAGAGAGCCTGGCTCTACCATCCAGCCCCCCTGAACACTAAACGTGAGGAGGCAACCCTCTACAGCATCTCTGAAGTCCACAAAAATGTGAAACAGAAGCCAGATAGTGCCCCAGAAATATTAGAGAAATGGAAAATGGGAGTTAGAGTACCAGGCTCTTAGAATACCCCAAATCTGTAAGGTAGGAGCTAGAGAGTTCTTGTGAGAGAGAGTGTATTTGCACACCATGCAAAGGCCTGAAATGCTGAAAACCTCTGTAAACAGAGCCCGGCAACTTAGATTCATACAAACCAAAACAGTTTTGTTTCTTAGTAATAATCTTGTTCATGGAATTCACTTTAGTTAACCTAGATAAAGCTATTTACATTAGCAATTCAGGAGGATAGCAGAACTGCTACAGACTTTGGGGTGGGGTTGGGGGGAAGGCTGATCTCTTCAAGAAGAAACAGAAATTCCCAGAATGTTCTTCGTTTCTCACAACTGGGATTTTTCCCTTGTTTGCAATAAAGGTTTTCAACTGTTTCATTACAAGGTACTTTTGTATTACTATATTTTACAGTTACCATTAATGTTGGCTTTTACAATCAAACAGATGAAAGGGTAACCTAGATTGTTTGTTTTTTTAAAAATTGTTTTAGTGAAAAATGAGTACAACCAGTTAATACTATTAGTAGAAGGAAAAAAAATTCTTGCCCTCATATTTGGATTCAGGTTCATCCATAATAAAAGTATATTAGTCCCATGGTGTTTCAGGGGCAGACCATTTAAAAAGAGGAGTAAAACATAAAGATTTAGACAAGAGTTTTATATTTAAATAAAAATCAGGTACCATATGAAATATGTTGCTCTAATTCCATTTCAGGGATACTGCCCACTATGTAGATCATTTGGGCCCTGATTTGACGAAGCACTTAAGTACTTGCTAAATCAGTCACCAGAACTCCTCAATAATTTGCTCAGTTATGTTGATTCAGACTACATTTAAAACTCAATATTTGGGGAAAACAAAGATTATTTATCCCTAGGTTATGTTAATATACTTGAATTTGGTGAATGACACTTTTAGTTTACCATCAGCTGAAAATAAATATCTAAAAGGTACAGGGATCTATTTCGACTGCTATGCAGTATTTTAAATACAGGATTTATACTTCAACTTGCTCTTAAGTTTTCATAGCACTATAATAGCTGTTATAATGCATTATGAGATGATAGAGATCAAGATGATGAACTAAAGAGCAATGCCAGATAAAAGAAATAAGGAAGTAAGTAGCAAATGTGTATTCAATTTGTGGCTCTTCCTAGCTGATCAAAACACGGCTTTTTTTTCAGTAATATATAAAAATGCACAAAAATTTCAGTGCAAACCTTGTATTTCAAGAAGGAAAGATAACTGGCAAATCTGTAAGCATATTAACCTATTGTTATTCTACTATACAAAATAGCCAGGAATATGGCAAACCATTTATCTGCATTTCAGAACAATTTCCAGTTAATAAAGAGTTCAATAAGCTGTCTTTCCAATTAGTAGTTAATACCAAAGTATTTCTAGAATATACATTCTTTATACTAAAAAAAATAATATTGTATTACTAGCATCAACTGGTATTAGAACCCAATCAGCATATACTGCCCAATATATGTATTCCAGTACAGTCTATATTACAAAGAGAAAACACATGTAAAAGAAACTAGTCATCCTATTTTGTTTTCTAATGCTTCACATAGTAGATTAGCTGCTACATGTAGTACTTACATTTATGAACCTTCAACATCCTTCCATCTACTGGAAATGGATCAAAATAGTCCCAATAATATTCATAAGACCAGTAATACTCAGATGAGTTTGTTTTGTTAGCCATTTCGGTAGTATATTTCAATCAGCTCTGCTCTGATTTGATACTTTGTTTCATTGTACTTTGGAGTTCTCAAAAAGACACTGAGTACCTGATGCCTATGTAAATCACTCTGGAAGACCTCACATCCTGCAGCTCAAGGACTGCTCAGATACTAAAAAAACTTAGCAGAAATTAATATCAGCCTGTGACAGACATTTAATACTAAACTTATACATAGAGGGGGTTAGCCATGTTAGTCTGAAGTCAGGCAAAAGCAGTGGCATACCAAAGGTAGTGGGGCAGGGGGAAGCCATGCCCCTGGGTGCCAGCCTGGGGTGGACTGCATGGACATCTCTCTAGGAGGGTATTACAACCAGGGAGAGGGGGAGATTTCTGACCAGGAAGAGGGGGAAAAAAGTGGGGGGAGGGGGTATTTAAACTAAAAATCTTTTGGATATTTCTGGTATGTGGGGGGCACCCTGGA